GAGTCTTGAGAGGTAAGTGGAAGTTAGTCAAGTAGACAGGAGAGGAGAAAGGAGACCATGTTGCCCTTCGGTGGTATAGATAGTGCTGGGGGCGGGGGGGGCGGGGCAGCAGGTCCTGGGGCCCGGAGTCAGGGCAGACAAAGAGGGTTGGAGAGGAAGAGGTGAGTTCAGAAATATTCAGGAGGTGGTGGAGGAACTGGGGACCTAGATGTGGGAGATGAGGCAGAAGGAGAAGGCTATGCCTGGGTTTCTGACGTGAGGATGGGTGTGAATACAAATGGAAGTCTGCATGTGGTGGTATCACCCTAACGTGCCTCAGCAGGTCCCCAGCAAAGGGAGTCCTGGGACCTCGTCTTAGCCGGTGGGTGAGTCCACAGCACGTCAACAAACTGTTAATATGTTACAAAGATGGAAGCCTACCCTGGTCAGCAGGAGGCCACCCTGTGAGCCCGCATAACTGTGGGGTTCTGCCCCAGGGTTGTGCTGGCAAGCATGCCAGGGTGTCACAGACTCCACACAGCGAGGGGCGGGGGGCCGCACATGGCCACACTGTCACTGTCACGCCGAGCCCTGGGCGGCTGCGCCAGGCCCTCTGCCCAGAGTCACGCTCGAGAGGGTCATCAGCCGGACCCAGCCCTTCCTGGGCCAGCTCATGACGGCCCCAAGCAGCGTGCACCATGACAGCCAACAGCCGTGTTGTGCAGAATCGTTTATTAAATGGAGTTTTGGAGACTCTTTTGTTAAATGGCATTTAAAATTCTCCCCAGGGCTGTATTTGGGGAATCCATTGGCCCATAACATAATGGTTCAGTGGTTAAAAACAAGTTCATTGTTAAAAAGGAAAACACAGCAATCATTGTGGGTGTGATGACTCACAGGTGACTCATCAGACCTGAAATCAAAGGGATCAGAATGACAGCAGGTGGGAACGCGGCAGCTTGTCTCTCGCTGGGATGTCAGTAGCTGCCCTTTGCTGGTCTCCCCACACCAGTGTTGCTGCTCCCCACCCCCATCCTCCTCCCAGCATCCTGAGAGACCAGATTATAAACCTGAAGGTGTCACACCATTGCTCACAGCTCTCCGAGACTTCCTACTGTAAGCACAGAAGCTGGATTCAACAGTTCAGTCGTGGGGTCCCATGATCCATCCCTTATCCCCTACATTCCAGCCACACAGGCCACAGGGCCTTTGCACGTGCTTGTCTCTCGATGTAGAACACTCCTCCACTTCACTCCCTTCCCTCTGGCCCATTCCCTTCCTCAGGGAAGCCCTTCCTGATCCCTCAGCTCTCCCACACTGTGTTCCTTTTCTTCGCAACACATTTTCCATTTGCAATCAGACATGTAAAACGGTGAGCTTTTCCATCTTCCCCAGTAAACTGTGAACATCAGGAGGGAAGGGACTGACCAGATCTGGTCTGCTCACCAGGGTGCTCCCAGAGCCAGCACAGTGCCCAGCAGGTGCTTAATAAATAACTGTTGACTGACTGTTTTATCAAAGGCACTTTACACTCTTTTTAAAATGTCAGCTTCTTCGGGATATCATTCAAACACTATACAATATGCCTACTTAAAGTGTACAATTCGGTGATTTTTAGTACTCACAGAGTTGTACCACTATCAACTTTAGAACATTTTAATCACCCCAAAAGGAACCCTGTACCCATTAAGCAGTCACTCCCCACTCCTCTCCAACCTCCCTTAGTCCCGTCCCTGGTAACTCCTCACCTGCTTTCTGGGCATGTCATAGAAATAGAATCACATAACATGTGATCCTTTGTGACTGGCTCGTGTCATTGAGCACAATTTAGGGGGAGAAGGAACAGGAGCCTGGGCGTTGCTGTCGTGGGCTCTGTCACTCGCTGCTCCTCTCACTTGGCTGAATTGTTTCTTAATCCTTATTACTGGGTAGAACTGCAACCTAGTGTCCGGCCTCTGGGAAAGCAGGGTCTCTTTCACCCAGGACACAGGACAACTATCACGGGGCTCAGTCTCCTCAGGGGCCCCAACCCCTCCTCCACCCCCACCCCTTGTATTCTCAGCTGCAAATAGGAGAGTTGGGTGGGAAAAGAACTTTCGGGAGGAGATCGGGGAGCTCCTGAAGGCTCCCAGAGCAGGGCCTGGAGACCACACGAAGCTGCGTTTCCTGGTCCCACTCTGGGAGTGTTCAGCTCTGTCACCCCTGGGAGCTGGCCATGGTGGCTGCTGCACTGGCCATGGCGGCGGCTGCACTGGCCATGGCACCCACTTCCTTGTCTGGTGCGGGTGCATGACTGGTGGGCACCCTGGCTGCATCGGAGGCTGGAAAGTCACGCACTCTGCCTGCTGCAGTGAGAGATGGGCCGTGCACGCGGGTGTTCCGGTGTGGATGAGGAGCCGAGTCTGCTCTGAGAAGGGACGCCTTTTTGTGATTCTCACAAAGGTATCACATGGCCAGTGCTGGCTCTGGGGACATGTGCGGCGGGAAGGAGTCTCCTACATAAGGGGGGCGTGGCAGGAGCTGGGAAGTAGAAAGAATGGCAACCATCTTCCCCATCGAGGAGCATGGGGAGCTTATGCTGGCCAGCAGGTTCCACTATAATAAAAGCATTTCATTAAATGCCGGGCGTTCAGAGCCCACCTCACTGCGCACTCTTCAGACTGCCCACCCCACCCCTGCCCAGAGCCTGGGGTTGGTGACTGGGGCCAGTGTGGGAGAGAGGGGGGCCTCGCTAGGGGTCAGCCCTGGAGCGTGCATGCCCCACCTTGAGCCTCAGTGTTGTGCCTGCACAGCGGTGGCAATGATTGTTGGAACCCGGGGCTACTGTGAGTGGCCACAAGAGGAGGGAGTTGGAAGGTCTGACATGTACATGCTCAATGAATGTTTTTATATTTTCCTTTGAGGTATTTTTTGTTATTTCAGAGGAAGACAAAAGCTGTCACTTTGACCATTGGTTGCTGCCACCCCAGAGCTTCCCAGTCCCTCCCAGCATGGTGACACCAGGACCCTCTGCAGAGCTCAGCCCCTCACCACTGCCCACAGGAGGAAACGGCACAGAGAAAGCGAATCCAGCTCCTGGCCCAGCCCACGGCCTCCTTGGGCTCCTGGAGCCCCTCCTATCTCTGCCGGGTGGGCCTGTGCTGGAGGGCGGGCAGGCTCCACCTTCTCAGGAGGGACCTGCATGAAACAGGAGCAAAGGGACACAGCTACACCTCACTGCGCACTCTTCAGCCTGCCCACCCCACCCCTGCCCAGAGGCGGGGGAGGGAGAGGAATGGGGTGGAGTCGGGGTGGGGGCAGTTGCTGGACACCCACTATGGGCAGGACAACAGGCCTAGAGACCTGGCCCAGAGACCCACAGGCCATGCAGAGGCTCAGGTCCAGTCCCCGTTCTCAGAAAGTGCCCCGCTCACTAGGAAGGTACACCCCCTGTTATAGACCAAATCGTGTTCTTCAAAATTCCTCCGTTGAAGCCATAAACCCCTCTCAGAATGTGACTCTGTTTGAGATGGGGTCTTTAGAGAGGTGACTAAGTAAATTTAGACCTTTGGGCTGGGCCCTAAGACAACAACACAATCTCTTACAAGAAGGGATTAGGACACAGAGACACCAGGGGCCAAGCACAGAAGCCACGCGAAGAGCGGGCAAGACGATAGCTGTCTGCAAGCCAAGGAGAGAGGCCTCAGGAGAAGCCAACCCTGCCGACACCTTGAATGTGGACTCCCAGCCTCCAGAACTATGAGCAATAAATTTCTGTAGTATAAACCGCCCGGCCGGTGGCATTTTGCTATGGCAGCCCAATCAGAG